CACCCACCCCCCCCCCCCCCCCCCCCCCTCCAAGAACAGCTATGGCCTCAGTGGAGAGGCAGAAGTGGAGACACTGACAGAACCTTGCTGCCTGTTCTCCAACTTTATTTCTGAAATGATGCCACTTTCTATCAATACTGGATGAAATGTTAATAATTGCACAAAGTTACTCTATATTTTGTCTATGCTAGTAAGCTCTGTAAGTCTGTACTTAGTCTGTGCTTTGTGTAGTGCTTTGAGATGTATGGAGGAGTATACTGGCAGAGTATACTAGCAGAAATAGGGAGAAATCAAAGAGGATGTGATCAAAAATCACGGACAGATGAGATTTATTTCAAGGTACTCGCAAGTCTATGAATTTTACATTTGACTCCTTTTTTACAGGACCAACTCTCAGTCCCAGTGAAAAAATTAGTTGAAGTCAGACTTCAGTATTTCTGAAGTCAGCAACACCCTTACTTACAATGTGGCAAACAGTAAGCCCAACCGGCCAATAAATTTGTTAAAGAAATTATTTAATCTCCATTTACAGGTCACTCAGTCGTCTGTGAAAGTGCATGACATAGACCAAAGGCAAAGGAATGAAAAACAGCAGGATTAAAGTGTCACTTTCCCATGCTGCTATGCCCAGGTGATTTTTTTACACCCAGGAAAAGAGGCAGTCCAAGGTCACTTGGTATTAAACCTGCACACTAATGACCTTATTGATTGCTCCAAGGAGCCCAATGATTGGGCAAAAGGCCAGGGCACTTCAGCGAGCAAAGCATCTCAATTAGGTACAAGCTCTTTGCCAAGTTCTTCAGGCTGCTACACATGATGTGACTCCTTCTTACTTTTGATCTCATTCCCTCAAATCCTCTTGAAATCTTAACAAATGGGACCAGGCACAGAGTGGGTTAGAGCAGAAACTGAAGGAAACAGATTACATCATACAGCAGTTCTTCTCTAACAAAGCACCAGTCATTCTGTTGGAGTTGGAGCTTTTTCTTCTCCAGTCAACTTGCAGGAGAGAGAAATTTTCACAGAAGTTTAATTAATGGCATCAGGTGATAGACCTCCAAGGACAGCATGTGTTTATGAAATCAGGTACTGTACTGTTAAAAAAAAGCACAAGAAATGAGTAAAGAATTACAATGTATCAGATGTATGAACATTTGGGAAAGCGAATGTCACTTAGAGTAAAAGGTAGCACTTTTAATAACAAAATGATAACAACTAAAACTAAATTATACAGTCTCTGTCTTTTATGTCCAGCTTTTGGGTGGGTAGGTGTTCAGGTCTTGCCTTTTCTCCAATAGCTCCATATCTGCTCAAAAGCCCCACAATGGGCTACACAAACTTTATCACCAAGGAGGAATAAATTATTTTTTAACTTTTGAACAGCATAAGACATTTGCACAGCTCTTTATAACACCCTCCCCCCCTCAAAATCAAACACATGGGTCCCTGGCCCAAGGAGCTTACAGTCTAATCATGCAGCTCACCCATTGACCCACAATAATACTCCCATCTTGATTAGATAGTGTCACTATAGAGTCATGCTTTGCTACCACAGATCTCCTTATCCAGAAAACAAAGAACTAAGGTTAAAATTCAGCCCACATGAAGACAGCCAGATTAAGCATTCCTTCCCACTTAAGCCCCCTGTGAAGGGTCAGAACTACTAGTTGAGCAGACACGAGAGATGACTAATCCCCATATGTGCTGGTTTCTATGCAGGCCTATGTGGGACTGGTACAAAAGGGTGCTCTGCAATCTAGTGTTACCTGCTTTATATATACTGGGCTTGATTCCAGTTTTCTGTAGTAATGCCACTGAAGTTAGTGGAGTTATAATGGTATAAGAAAGGGGAGACTGCTGGTGACATTTTTCAGTCATATAAAAAGCACATGGGGCCTACCATCTATGATTCCTTGAGCTGTAAAAATGCAGCAGAAGCTGCTTATTATGAACTCAGATACATCAGCTTCTTTACCTAGTAAAGCTGGGCCAAAACCAGACTTTGTATCAAAATCTAGATTCTGCTTTTTCCCTCCATTTTGCTACCTAAAGTTTGGGGGGTATTCAAGATTATGGTGCGGCCCCATTGCAATTTACAATGAAGTAAAGTTAAAGATCCAAATAGTTACTAGATTTGCAAAATTGAAATGCACTGTGAAAGCAAGTTTCTGCTCACAATAAATATCTTGCATGGAAAAAAGTTATTTCACTTTAAGTAGGTTCCTCTGTACACTAAAACTGTAAACACTGTTGCTTGTTACTAAGTAGAATTAAGAGAATATATACATGAAGCAACTAGTGTTCACAAAATAGTCCATACTAGGTAAATCTATTAGAGATGAGTAGTGTCTTGACTTGTTTTGACATGAGATTGATTTTTGTTCACTGTTTTAAGTGGGCTCCCATAAGTCAACATAATGTACTAGTTTATCCAATTCCAAAGGACATCAAGAGATGAAAAAAGACAGGCTGCTTAGTAATACAAAATACATGTTACCATTTCTAGCCAGCATACAATTAGAAGACCTTTTCAAATATTTTGCAGTTGGTTTATGTCTTTACATGCCCAAATTTGGCCATCAGTTAAGTGTGTGTACGTAACAGAAATTGTGTTAATGCTGAAATATTAAGGACAAAATTTTCAGCCAGATGTCTTTTGGCCATCAATTGTGTTTGTGCACAAACATTTTCTCTTACATACCTGAACTTAGACAGAGGCAAAGTTTAAAGTTCTAACACCTGCAAATGTGTATGTCCTGTGTATCAGTATACATAAAATCCTTGTACTACATTTTATAATGAAAATTCTAGCACAGATACTAAACAGCAGTTTGAGTGTGCATGCAAATGTTTATACCTCCAGAGAGTAATCACATATATGTGACTGTACAATTCTGCATATGCACATGTGAAGAGTAAGAGCCGGAAAATTATGTCCCATATATTTGAGTGACACAAACAGTTAATAATGTTAATTAAACAATCAAGAGACTGGTTGGAGGGAAAGAAGTTTCAGCTCTTTTATTTAGCACACTGACTAACCTGACTGTGCTCAGGCTTCTGGAAACATCCAGCTTACATTGGACATGCTCAGACCATAGCTATTAGCGTAGTCACATGCGTACCACTAATGCATAATCTCATCTCTATAATTTGCCCTATACTAAATCCTACATATTTTACAAGAGTCAGCAACTCACACAAATTGCATCAGTGGAGGTTGAGGTCTCTTGTTGGAGAGCAGGAGGCCTAGGGAATTCAACCAATAAAGACAACAACATGAAAAAAGAGAGGCTTCAACAAATATAAAAAAGAGAGGGGTCTCTGGGAAAGAGAGGTGGAAAAATGGGGAAGGAGATGTCCTGAAGGCTAAATTGAACTAGTTCAAAAGCTGAGACGGGGGCAAGTCTACACCACAGTGCTCTCTCTACATTGGTGCTGCTACATTGTAGCTCAGCTGGGGAAGATGCCTTGTGTCAACAGGACAGAGCTTTCCCATTGACATAATTACTCCAGCTCTGCGAGAGGCTGGAGTTATGTCAGCAAGAGAGCATGCCCCACTGAAATAGTGCCAGAGTGAACAGCCCTCAGGTCGATGTAACTTATGTTGCTCAGGGGAGTGTAGGCCAGCCTGGAGAAAGCTTAGGAGCTGGAATCAAAAAAATGGAAAATTGGAAAATGAGAGAGAAAGGCCCTGTCACCTGGAAGAAATAGTGAGACAGCAGAGAGGGAGAGACATGACTTTGACAATGGAAATTTGTTTCATGTACCATATGTTGGATAAGAGCATGAAAGAACTCCATGCCTGCAAGCAGAGCCGGTCTTAGGAGTAGGCTGAGACTGCATTTCAGTCCAAACTCCCTACTCCTCCCCCCAGGTTTCCCCAACCCTTTTTTTTTTTTGGTCCGGTATTTTTTTAAACCATCTGGCAACCCTACGGGCAAGCCGAGTGGTCGCCCAGGGCTGCCAATTGGTTAGGACTGGCGCTGCTTGCAAAACTAAACTAGCTCTTTATGAAGACAATTGTCTGCAGAAGTGTTGGAACTACAAATAGCCATGTGTATTATAGAATTAGATTCCAGCCATCTCCTTTCATCTGCCTGCTGATTCTGTATGGTTTTATGAGAACAATTCCATTCCAGGTACAATCAAATCCTTACCTTGCTTTAAGTTATGATAAGAGGAAGCTGCACATCAAATTTGGTGGTCCTAGCTAGCTCTTACCATTTAGGAGGAGTTCTTGAACAAACAGACACACAGAGAGATGCACAAACACTCTCAAATATATACAGGCAGTACCCGGGCTACGTACAAGATAGGGACTGTAGGTTTGTTCTTAAGTTGAATCTGTATGTAAGTCGGAACTGGCATCCAGATTCAGCCGCTGAATCTGGACACCAGTTCTGACTTACATACAGATTCAACTTAAGAACCCCAGGCGTCCCCAAGTCAGCTGCTGCTGAAACTGATCAGCAGCGGCTGAATCAGGACTCCTGGGGAAGAGTAGCTGGGGGGCTGCCAGGTTGGTCCAGTAGCGCCAAGGAGCGGTGCTGCGGGACCAACCGGCAGCGCCCCACCTGCTCTACCACAGGCCCTGGGCTTTGCTCCACATCTCCCTGGTCTGCTGAGGGGGGCACTAGCTGCGTCCCCCCCAGCAGACCAGAGAGACGCGGAGCAAAGCAGCGGAGGACCCGGGCCGGACCCGCGGCGCTTCCAGATCAGCTGGAAGTGCCGCGGGTCCGGCTGGGGCCTGCGCGGCTTTTCTCAGCATCTCCCTGGTCTGCAGACCAGAGAGACATGGAGCAAAGCGGCGCAGGACCCGGGGCCGGACCCGCGGCGCTTCCAGATCAGCTGGAAGTGCCGCGGGTCCGGCTGGGGCCTGCGCGGCTTTTCTCAGCATCTCCCTGGTCTGCAGACCAGAGAGACATGGAGCAAAGCGGCGCAGGACCCGGGGCCGGACCCGCGGCGCTTCCAGATCAGCTGGAAGTGCCGCGGGTCCGGCTGGGGCCTGCGCGGCTTTTCTCAGCATCTCCCTGGTCTGCAGACCAGAGAGACATGGAGCAAAGCGGCGCAGGACCCGGGGCCGGACCCGCGGCGCTTCCAGATCAGCTGGAAGTGCCGCGGGTCCGGCTGGGGCCTGCGCGGCTTTTCTCAGCATCTCCCTGGTCTGCAGACCAGAGAGACATGGAGCAAAGCGGCGCAGGACCCGGGGCCGGACCCGCGGCGCTTCCAGATCAGCTGGAAGTGCCGCGGGTCCGGCTGGGTCCTGCGCGGCTTTGCTCCCTGTCTCCCTGGTCTGCTGGCTCCCGCAGCAGACCAGGGAGACGGGGAGCAGCTTTTCTTGCCCCGGAAGAGGCGGGCGGCGGGACCAGGCATTCGTATCTGCGGATTCGACATAAGTCGGATCCGCGTAACTCGGGGACTGCCTGTAGCAGATAATCTGTATCATATCCAACATTAAAAGTCTGTTAATTAACTGAAGGTCATCCATATAATATTTTATAGTTAACATTTAGCCAATAAGAGAAATAATAAATATAAAAATGTATAAAAACTCAGAGATATGCTGATTATATTATTTTCCTTAAGAATGACAATAAAATGAAGGCAGGGTAAGGAAATCCCTTTTTTAATTTGGTTAGGAACAGACATGTACAATTTGAGCAGAAAGATCTCTCACCATAAGGCTTCCCTAAACCAGGTATTTAAATGAATTTTCAGATAATGTATTTTAATCTGAAAATGTTTCAAGCAATTCATCACTTACACATGAAAAGACCCTTGATTTTGTATGGCAGATTTTATTCAAGACCCTAAACTGAATTAGCTGTAAATCTGGTAGTTATCTGACAAGAATGGCTTTCTGCCGAAGATTATGCAAGTTGGTGACATCAACAGAGGTTCAGACTCCTCTAACTATACAATCTCTGTCTCTCTTAAATCCTTGCAGAAGTCACAACAACCATTGGCAGCACTCATTTATCTTGATCCTTAAAATTTGAACAACAGTAAAAACCACAATAGAAAAAAAATGTGCATTTCATTCAGATTTATAATGTTAAGCCTCAATTTATTGTATTTTTGCTTCCAAACT